TTCACAGCAAATCAAAGACCAATTGAGACGGAACTTGATAAGTGAAAGAGATCTTTGATCAATTGACTTACAAGCCGCTTTCTTTGGAAGAAACAACATACAGCCTCATACGGTTTAATACAGCCTGGCAAAAAAGGATCGGCCATGTGAGTTCTTGTCGCATGTATATACCGCTGCAGGAGGATCATCTTCAGAGAATCACTTGAAATCTCGTGGGAATACGCGTCATCCTCTGAGCCGTGTGAGTATAAAAGCATTCAAAAACAACTTGTCCACTATTACGACCAAGTTTGTTCATTCCTTTGCTTGAACCTCAGCTTGTGGCCCTTTCACAACTCATCCAACGACCATGTCTATTACTTGAACCTTGCACTACACAAAAAAAATCCCAGACAGAGGCTCTATCAAAGGGTTTGCTTGCAGGAAAATCTACAGTTGAAATGGCCCCAAAACACTCTAAATTTCGGGAACTAAATGAAACCTTGCGAGCCCCTGTTGCAGGAGCCCGTCCCCGCTTGCCTCCCCCGCCAGCAGCGACAGGCAAAGGCTGAGGCAGTGGATGGCAGGCCAGGCCTCGAGTGGGAGAAAGCCGGCCGAAGCAAACTCAAAACAAAACCCTTTCCCCCGCCGCATGCATTGACATGATTTCCTGTATTTAGATATGTGATACCAAGCGACAATCTATTGGCATCCAAGATATAAATATATAATACCAAGGCACAATCTATTCGGAAGGGTCCGGTATTGAGAGTTGAGTAGCTAAATCTCTGCTGGGTCTTCCTCCGTTCGGAGCAAATGATTGCTGTGCGCCTGCTCGCGCAAGTGGACAGTTCCACCAAGCTTGCCCTTGCCAACATTCCATAGATTGCTGCGCAGCTCTGTCCCCGGGCAGTTCTATCCTCTCCCATATGCCTGGACACCGTGTGGGATGCATTGGGTGGACCAACGCTAGTTTCTGCCCCTCCTAAGTAAAGGACACTTGTCCCTGATGTAGTTTGACCAACCCCAGCTTCGGATGGTGTCTGTGGATGCTTGGCGTTGAGGTTGAGACCCTCCGCGTAGCCGTGCAGCTTCTCGGGCTGGAGGTCGACACAAACAAAGGGCTTGCCTTTCAACAAGCTTCTTTTTTTTCTCGGAAAGAATGCTTCAATGAGGTTGCTACACTTTCGCCCTTTCTTCTATCTCGGGACCAAGGTGGAAAGGCAAACTCTCAAGTTCAGGCGGCCAATGCGTTGGTTTCATGAGCAATTGCAGCAATATAAGCAGCGCCCGAAACCCGATTGACTTGTGGCTTCATGGTTCAAAATAGGCTTTAATACATATCCAAGTCAGCCAGGTACCCAGGGACATGGCCAATGGGGGTTGTGCTCTGATGTGCCTGATGACCTCCAAAACCCAGCACCGCTCAGGTTTAACCCCAACCCTGGTTTAACGGCCAGGAACTCACAACCAGAAGGCCTTGGTTTTCTTAACGAGTTCCGGTTGCTTGATCTGAACTCGAAGCATGTTCGGGGGTTTTGTCCGCTGCGATTGTTAGTAATGACCCACACCCCAAGCTTGACCTGTCGCACTGCATGAAAAGAGTGTCCGGCAAACTGCGTGTATGTATGAGATGCGGAGGTAGATTCACATCTAAGGAGCGTGAGCAAGAAGCTGAAACATGCTGCTTCTCTTGTCAGGCAGAAAGGAAGCCGAACATGTCATGGAAGCTTTCGGGTGTAACAAACATGGAGCCGGATTCAGAGCCATGTGGGAAGGAAAACCTCTCAACACAAATGATTGCTGCTCGACATGGGGCCCCCTTAGCAGGGATCGCCCCTAGCAAGGAAAAAGGAAACCACACGCCAGGAAAATCGCTCCCTATTTTCCGTCGGACAGCGGCACGCTAGGGCATCAGCAATATGTTCCAAACAAAAGGAACCAAACTCGAGGGCTCCGATCAATGTTGACCTAAGAATGGGGTGTTCCTCTCTCTTGGTGGTCTGAATATCCAATAAAAAGGTAAACATAGACACCCCCCAAATCAAAATCCGCCAGTTCTACCTAGTTCTGGGTCTCCTGTTTACCCCCTTGGCCCCACGCCGCCCGTCCCATGCCGGGCCGAAAGGGGCCCTTGCCGCCAGGCAGGCTGCAACCAGGCAGGGGTGCGCAAACGCCTCGGAGAGAAACCCACTCAAATCCCGGGGGGGCATGGCTTCCTTAACAGGAATCACAATAGTTATTTTCATGTTCCTAGCAGGTGGATGACCAACGTATCCCCCAGTTTACTGGATCCGGTCTTTCGAACATGGCACTTGTGTCATAATCAAAACCCGGTATCGAAACGGTCTACCCAGAACCATGCAAAGAGTTAACAAGGCGGCCGCAGCGATTTATGGTCGGGGTTGTCCCTTACTAACCTTCATCTCCCGGGTTTTGAGTGTGGCTCAACTGACCTTGCTGGTGCGATAGGCAGGGCACGAGAAAATTGGAATGAACCTGGGGATTCCCTCAAAAGGAAACCACCAGTTGGATCGTTGATAGGAGTCATTCCATTCCTTATTCCCTGCCGAGCACCAGAAGGGGAACGTTCCAACACGTATCACAGTAGGAAGAAACCCACGCTCCTACTTTGTTGGTTCCCACAAAAATGATCTTAAAGCCCATCAAAGAATCACTAAAAAAGGTCTTCCCAGAAAGGACAAAAGAACAAAGTGAGACTCACCCGCTGCCCCAAACGCATGCCCTTCAGAAAGGCTTCCACGCGGAGTGGCTGATTGCTGCAGAACACACATCTTGTGCTTCGCAGGAAATAACTGGAAGGAACACAAGGAACTTCCAAAGAGCTAAAGGCTGGTTTCGGTCGAACCAAGGAGCAATCAGAACCGGGGTTGGGGATGTTCTATTCGAGAGACAACTTCCCATTCCTTCCAGGGATCCTTCGCAGAAACCCCACCACCTATGGGAATGACCCGGTATCTGAATTTATCAATGGTTTAAAAGGATTGAAAGGAGAACAGGCAAAATACAGCGGCTCCACCACAGGCTCATTAAGACCACAAATTGGGCCCCAGGCTCGACTGAGGCCAAGCCCCACACTTGCTAGGACCAGTGGATGGGTAGCCCTGTTCGTCTTCTTGTGGGCCCGTTGTTCAACCGCACCTCCTCCTTGATGCGCTGCCACTCCACCGGCAAGCGCATGGCACCATTCAACTCATGCACGACCCATTGGAGGGTGAAGGCAGTGAGCTCTATTGAGGCCGAATGAGGCCACATGAGGTTTTGGGTGGGCGGGGGTACTGCGCTTCGCGCTTTGCCCCGATATCCAAAATCCAACGACAGTTGCGAACATTTGCTAAATGGGACCCGGTCTTACAGGGAAGCCAAGGAAAGTGTATGTGTATGTTTCGGGTGTTTCCCTTGGGCTGGCTCCCCCACTTTGCGAAGCCCAGGGACTGTCTTTAAAGGAGCTTTGGAAACAATTCTTATTAGGGTTTTTGGAGAACCTGTGGATCAGGGTCCTGGTCAGGGTGCTTAGCAGGCTGATGTTCAAGGTGCGGTTTGGCACGGTGCAGTTACTGTTGTGGTTGTTTGGCGATGTGTGCTAGGGGTGCCGTGGCAGTTGCTAGTGGTGCTTGTTTGGCGATGCAGACTTTGTGCTGGTCAGGGTGCTGTTGCAATCTCCCGCGCTATCTGGGTTCTATGCTGGTTATGTTTTGTCCTTCTATTTGTGCTTCCCTTGGTAACAGTTTTAGGTCAAGGCCCCAAAGAAAAAACCGGTGACCCTTTGGCTTTCAGTTCTCTTGACCCGCAGTCTTGTTACTGACAGCTGAGAGCTATAGGATCTGGGAGGCGGGGGAGCCCTGATCGGCACACGTTGCTAGAAATGCCGTCTCTGGTCGGGCATCACAGGAAACCGCTCTGGCGTCCATCTTCTTCCATTTGCTTAAGACCCTGGAAACAAAATGTGTCCAGGAGTGGTGGACATACCACAGATTCATTTCAACAAATGGAAGTCTTCAACGGAAAAAAGAAGCCGTGCATTCGCAGCTACATGATGCTTGGGCCCTGCTTAAGGCGCCCGTATTTTTGCGCGAGACAAACCTCTTAGGGGCCAAGGAAGAGTCTCTGACCCTGTCCTGAGGTATCTTTGCGCTGCTCCATTGTAACTTGAGCAAGCCAACAGCTGCGGGCGTTCAAGGGTTTCCCCTTTCGGCATGTGATTTGCAGGTATGCTGGTGGTATGTATATTTTTTATGTGTACACATACGTGTACCTACAACATTTATGGAATCGTAGGGTGTTCCCACCTCCTTCCCCAACTCTGCGTTGGGACGCGTTGACATTTCTTTGGCATGGCCCTGCCTCGTTTTGGGGGTCTTCCCTTCTCGGTAGTATGTCACCCTTCCGCCCAGCCCTCTCTGCAGTCTTCTGTAAATGAAGACGGTCGCTATGTATATATATATATATATATATTTATAAGAATAATAAGAATAATAACAATAATTGTACATATATATGTCTACATATAGTATCGGGCTAGCAGATAGAATATATGTTTTAGAGTAAATGAACATGCACATTTCAAAAGTCTATCAAAATATACAGTTAGAATAAATCGAAAACAAAAACAGTTAGAATAACAAAAACAGAACAGATAGATTATTTCAAAATAAGGGTTTCTGCTATGAACAACTACTCTGCGATAAATGTCCTAGCTGCTAGCCCGTTGCTAGATATTTCTATATACGGCTTTCAGGAAACCATGTGGGTCCCATGTTTTTCCATTTGGGTCCGTCTCTCTTTCAAGGGTATATGCAAAACCAAACGGAAACCAACCGTTTTGAGGGGTCCCCCAAAGAAAGACACACGCATTTGCCAAAGGAATGCATGGCTTCTCCTTTTTTCGGAGCTCAAATGCTCAGCCCGACGGGCCATGCCCCTCCTCTCCCACAAACAAATCGAATATTTCAAAACAAGGGTATTTTTTGTTATGAACAACTAGTCTGCGATAAATGTCCTAGCTGCTAGCCCGTTGCTAGATATTTCAAAATGCAGCTCCCAGGAAACCATGTGGGTCCCATGATTTTCCATTTGGGTCCGTCTTTCTTTGAAGGGTATATGCAAAACCAAACGGACCCCAACTGTTTTGAGGGGCCCCCTAAGAAAGACACACGCATTTGCTAAAGGAATGCATGGCTTCTCACTAATCTTAAATATTGGTAATGCTAATTTAAGTTCTGGCAATACTAATTTAGTCCTGGCAGTCTAAAACATTGGAGAAGTGTGTTGTTATCAGAACAGGATTCTTTTGAATTATTCCATCTGTCAAAGCATATTCTATTTGCCGGCCACCCGAAATGGTGTTCAAATTTCAAGGATTTGCGCAAATGTGAATTATTCTAAGTGTCACGTGTGCTCCTAAATGTTCTAACTGATGTTTTCGGGTATTTTCGGAGTAAATTATATTCTAACTGAGGAGCCGACGGAGTAAATTATATTCTATCTGCTAGCCCGATACTATACATAGCGACTACACCACTGACAAAAAGGGGCCCATGTATACAAGTGCCTCAGTCTCTTTATGTCACGAATGCAGCTGGACCGTCGGCACCATGATCATTTAGCCTGTCAAAACAAGTGCAGTGTCAGCGCAAACACACATTCACCATAACCGTTCCGCGAGCTTCCATGGACAAAACCCCTTCGAAAGGCTGCCACAGCCTTCTGCGACTCTGGCGTGGCGCACATTTCCAAAGAATCACTTCCGTACCTTTGCATACTTCATTGAAGAGCAGACACACACACACACACACACACGCATATCATAGATAGCCTTCACTCAGAACCTAGATCGTGTGCCCTGAAGAACGTTGCGAACCCCGCACCCAAATTTGCCAGCACATCAATCCGGAAAATCCTTGGGCATGGGTATGAATTTCACTTGGAGACTATTTGGTGGGCATCTGGTGCGGATTGTCCGGGCACTTTGAGGGCCTGGCATAGCCCAAGCCACCAGTGGCAATGGAACTCAGGTGGCACCCTAGCTTAGTCCAAAAGAAATCTGAGCTGATTGAGTTTGCCTCCGGCCAGAATAGGATCCCTTTTAGGAGCGGACAGTCCCACACCCAGGGAACAAGGGGGGGATCCTATGCTCACCTGCTGGGTTGATTGGCCAAGTCAAAACTGGCTGGCCCTTGACTATGCAGAAACCTACCAAACAAAAGTGAAACCTGTCTCCCAAATAAAAGGGCAAGGGCAAACCACTGTGTTCCTTGCAGCTCTACACAAAACATGAACAGGACTAACAAGTAAAGAATTAAAGACACATACGCCAAGAACAGTAAAGCGATAACTTTAACGGAAACTCAAACTAAGTATCAGGGTGGGCTCCCTCCCCCCCCTCCGTTTGGCTCAGGTGCCGTTCACAACAGCGCTTGTTGAGGCATGAGTTGTTTTCACCGCTGAAACTCGGTTTGTCTCAAAATAGTCAACCTTTGCTCACTTCCGTGAATTGGCCTTTAACAAACAGCTCCCAAACTTTTTGGTTCCCACAAGAACGGTCTTCCGCACAAGTGACTAAAGTCCGAAACGGAACTCAGGGAGCGAGTTAGACCTGCTCCGACCCCTGCGAGATGACTCTTTTTGTTTCTCGCGTTGGAGGACCATCGACTCCTGGGACAAGGGCCGTCCGTCCTGAGCGGTTTGGGAAACGTGGGTGTAAACTACCTCCCAACGGAGCCAACGAATTGACCTTTCTATCTCTGTTGAAACTAATCAAAACAAAACATGTTGACTATTGTCCATATATGGTGAACCTTAAAGATTGGGTCACAATTTCAACGGTGATCCCAGTTTTAGGGCAGGTTCGCTAGCCCCCCCAAATGGTTTTTTCCTTCCCGCCAGCTGACACCCTTCGGCCACTCTAAGCTAACCAACCCTCAAGCAATCCTCAACAAACCCTTAACCAACCCTGAGCCAACCCAAAACCAACCCAACCATCTATGTTCCAGATATAAGGGGCTTAAAAACCTCAACACTAGCAGAGTCACTGGCAGGGGCAAAGTTTGATCACTGCTCCCGGCCAGGCGTGCATGCACAAAGTCCTGAAATCAGTTGTCAACTGGCCTTGTCTATTTGAATGGACATGTTCACAGCTGCACTTGAATAGTTGAATGGAATGGTCGCAAACGGATTTGAAGAAACGAATTGACATGGCCACAACTTGAACATTTGAATGGACATGCTCGCAACTGTACTTGAATATTCTATTGGCAATCGTCGCCGTTGTCGTTCAAAGACTCAAGTCCAGCTGTAACTACAAGTTTAACTATGTGCCAATTCCATCCAACTATTCAAGTCCAGCTGTAACCATGTCCATTCAAGTAACAAGTCCAGTTGCGGCCACTTCCACTCAAAAACCCAAGTCCAGCTGTAACTATGTGCATGCAAATATTGAAGTCCAGTTGGTTGCGGCCATTCCATTCAAGACTCAAGTTCAGCTGCAACTATGTGCATTGACACATTGAGGTCCAGCTTCGGCCATTTTAATTCAAAAAATCAGGTCCAGTTGCGACCATGTCCGTTCAAATATTGAGGTCCCATTGTGACCATTTCACTTGAAATATTCAAGTTCTGTTGCAACCAAGTCCATTCAACTATTCAAGTCCAGTTGCGACCAACTAGTGCGGTCCAGTTGCGACCAGTTCCATTCAAAGAAATGAGTTCAGTTGCGGCATTGTCCATGCAAACATTCAGTACAGTTGCGACCAGATCCAATCAACTATTCAAGTTTAGTTGTGACCGTTTCCATTCAAATATTCAATCGTAGTGTCCATTCAAATTCAGGTCTCGTTGTGACCGTTTCTGTTCAAATATTCAACTCCGGTTGCGGCCATTCAATTGTTCAAGTCCAGTTTACGATCATGTCCATCAAAATAAAGTTTAGTCGAACAACAACACGTACTGCCCAAAAGACCTGAATTAACAGGCTAACCTTTTGGCATCTTCGAAGGACACACAAAAGGCTAAAAGCTCGGATTTGACACAAGGAGCACACAAGATCGCACTGTTTACGGACTTTTTTGGAGACGATGGGCCACTTTTAGAGGTTCCAAAGACGGCGAATTCCTGGCGGCTTCGCTCTAAAACCACCAAAAGGGGAAGGGGGCCAACTCAAAGCAAGACTCGGGAGCTTGAAG